AGGAGAGAGATGAACTGAAAAAGGAACTGTTCAATTTTCAAGCAGAATTTAAATAAAATATTTCTAAAAGGACTTGCTAAATTAAAAAATAAAACCCTTTACTCTACGCTGCTAATTTTTCAGAAAACAAAACCAAAACCAAAACCAAACCTTTTTCTTCATGTTGTACAGATGGAACAAAGAAAAGAAAACTAACAACAAAAATTCTTTTTCATTCTTCCTCTCTGACAAAAGGCTTTTAAAGTAAGAAATTACCTCAAGGCAAAAATCAAATCCCCAGCATTTCCAGTAATACAGAGCCCCAGAGTGAAGAACAAAACAAATAAAGGGTCAGCTATAAAACCTTTTGTTAGCTGGCCATGGGAGCACATGCCTATAGCCCCAGCTACTCAGGAAGCTGAGGCAGGAGGATCCCTTGAGGCCAGGAGTTTGGGACTATAATGCGTATTTACTGAGGCTGGAAATAGCCACTATACTCCAGCCTGGGAAACATAATGAGACCATCTTTAAAAAACAAACCAAAAAAACTCTTTGTTTGTTAAGATGTAACATCTTTTTGAGATCTAAAATTAAAGATGATGTTCTGGCCAGGCGCGGTGGCTCACGCCTATAATCCCAGCACTTTTGGAGGCCGAGACGGGTGGATCACGAGGTCAAAAGATTGAGATCATCCTGGTGAACATGGTGAAACCCTGTCCACTAAAAATACAAAAATTAGCTGGGCATGGTGGCGCACGCCTGTAGTCCCAGCTACTCGGGAGGCTGAGGCAGGAGAATTGCTTGAACCCAGGAGACAGAGGTTGCCGTGAGCCGAGATTGCGCCATTGCACTCCAGCCTGGGTATCAAGAGCGAAACTCTGTCTCAAAAAAAAAAAAAAAAGATGATGTTCTGTAAACCCTTGCAACTACACAAACGCACTTCTAAACATTCTAAAGGTGTTATCCCATGACACAGACTTGTCACCTAAAGAAGGGTCTGTCTTGATAGAATGGAGTACCTTCTGTGTAATTGAGTAGACTATAATTTATTATTTACAGGGCCCACAGAATTTTAAAGAAAAGTTTAATACTGAAAGCAGCACCAGTTTGGACTAAAAGGGACAATTCAAAATAAAAAGAGGTCTCTGGGCCCCCAACACTGGTCAAAAAGTAGGCTGAGAAAACTACTTAGCTGCAAACACAGATAATTTCCTATTTATTTAAAAGGAAAGATGTCTCAGCAGGTAGAGTGCCAAGGACTGAGAGGGTGGATTTGGAAGTCCAGGAGAGCAGTGGTGAGCAATGGGAAATCCAGGGAGCAGAACCAGGCTGTAACTAGCTAAGGGCATTCTGGATTTGGAGTGGACCTAGATATTTGCCTGGCTGAATATAAGAAGTTTTTTGGTTTTGGTTTTTTTTTTTTTTTTTGAGACGGGGTTTTTCTCTTGTTACCCAGGCTGGAGCGCAATGGCGCAATCTCGGTTCACCGCAACCTCCGCCTCCTGGGTTCAGGTAATTCTCCTGCCTCAGCCTCCTGAGTAGCTGGGACTACAGGCACGCGCCACCATGCCCAGCTAATTTTTTGTACTTTTAGTAGAGACGGGGTTTCACCATGTTGACCAGGATGGTCTCGATCTCTTGACCTCGTGATCCACCCACCTCGGCCTCCCAAAGTGCTGGGATTACAGGCTTGAGCCACCGCGCCCGGCCTGTTTTGTTTTTTGAGACAGAGTTTTTTGCTCTTGTTGCTTAGGGTGGAGTGCAATGGCGCACTCTTGGCTCACCGCAACCTCTGCCTCCTGGGTTCAAGCGATTCTCCTGCCTCAGCCTCCCTAGTAGCTGAGATTACAGGCATGCGCCATCACACTCAGATAATTTTTTTTATTTTTTATTTTTAGTAGAAACGGCGTTTCTCAATGTTGGTCAGGCTAATCTTAAACTCCTGATCTCAGCAGTAGCCACGCCCAGAATCAATCACTGTGAGATGGAACTACGCCCACCTTGGTGTCCCAAAGTGTTGGAATTACAGGCATGAGCCACTGTGCCCAGCCTGAATATCAGAAGTTTTATGGATCAGTGACTGCTCTGTGTCTCCTACTCTCCTATATCCCATTTTGAACAGGAGTATCTATTATATTTATCTTGTCCCTGTCTCAGCATTGTATGTTAAGTGCATGGGAGGCAGAGAGCTTGTATTTTTAGGGCACAGACAGTGGTATGCTGGTAAATGTTTTTTTTTTTTTCTGTTTTTTCTTCCCAATCATTTTACTATGTACCAAGATAGCTGGTAAATGTTTAATAACTGGTCTCCAGGGGAAAAAATCAAAAACCCTGATTTGCAGTCTTTGTCAATTTCTATAGCATAAACTCTCCCACCATGGCTGATTTCAAGCTGCTAATGTGACATCACTGAATGCTGAGCTGGGAGAAGATGTCCACAATCAGCTTTCATAAGTCACTATAAACCTGCGCTAGAACACTACTGAAGGCCCCTGCACTGAAGAAATGTACCAGAGGAGCCTCACCTATATTTGCACTTAATTCAGGTGATGAGATGCTGGACTTCAAGCCTGATCCTGATGCCATAAAGGGATGAAAGTTTGATGGCGGTAGTTGGGAGAGGATGACTGTATTTTGCTTGTGGGAGGGATGCAAATTGTTAGGGGCCAGAGGGCAGACTTAAGTAGACAGCTAGATTAGTGGCTCCCAATAAATAGTACCTCATGGCTTTCATGCTTTCATGTAGTTCCATCTCACAGTGATTGATTCTGGGCGTGGCTACACTGACTTGCTTTGTCAATGGAACATTAGCAAGCAAGGTGTATGTAGAAGCTTGACAATAATTTACACATTGAAATTATCCTCTTGGAATATAGCCACGATTCTCTAAAGAAGCTTGGGCTAGACCACTGAATGATAAGAAGCTTCACGGAGAGAGGCTGTTATGGACTGAACATTTGTGTCCCCTCAAAATTCATATGTTGAAATGTTAACTCCCAAGTGATGGTATTAGGAAGTGGAGCCTTTGGGAGGTGATTAAGTTATGAGGCTGGAGCCCTCATTACTAGGATTAGTGCCTTTATAAAAGATTTCCAGAGAGCTGCCTCGTCCTTTTCCTCCATGGAAGGTTACAGAGAGAAGAGGACCCTCACCATAATCCCCTCATGGGCAGGCACTGACTCTACCCCCTAGTTCCTGCTCCCTCCCACTTTAGCATTCAAAGTACTTTACCTGTGTTAGCCCATATAATTCTCTCAGCTATCCTCTTATTATCCCCATTTAACAAATGAGAAAACTATTAACCACAAGGCCAAACAGCTAATAAATGGCTGAGCAAGAATCTGAGCCCAGGCTATCTAGCTCCAGTTCAAGCTGGGTCTTCAAACAGGTGGGGGGTGGAGGGTAGGGGTTGTGCTCATGCCTGTAATCCTAGCACTTTGGGCGGCTGAGGTGAGCAGATCACTTGAGGTCAGGAGTTCAAGACCAGCCTGGCCAACATGGTGAAACCCTGTCTCTATTAAAAATACAAAAATTAGCCGGGTGTGGTGGCATGGGCCTGTAGTCTCAGCTACTTGGGAGGCTGAGGCAGGAGAATGGCTTGAACTTAGGACGTGGGGGTTGCAGTGAGCTAAGATTGTGCCATTGCATTCCAGCCTGGGCAACAAAGTAAAACTCTGTCTCAAAAACAAAAAACAAGAGGGAATGAGGGTCCAGAAACGGGAAGGGTCTTCCAGACCTAAGAAAGACCTTGCAAAAGGCTCAATTTGCCTTTTCTAGAGTCCTGGCTTAGAATTCCTCATCTGTTCAGTATATTCTCCAACTATTCCCCTGTCTATGGAAGTAACTCTCTCTCCTTCTTCTTGTCTTTTATCTATCTTTCTTTAATTAATTAATTAATTAATTTTAGCAATGGAGGTCTCACTCTGTTGCCCAGGCCGGAGGGCAGTGGTGCAAATATAGCTCAACGCAGTCTCAAACTCCTGGGCTCAAGTGATCCTCCATCTCAGACTCCCAAATAGCTGGGACTGCAGGTGAACTCCACCACATCCAGCTAATTTTTAAGCTGGGGGTGGTGGCTCGTGCCTGTAATCCTAGAACTTTGTGAGCCCAAGGCAAGTAGATTGCTTGAGCCCAAAAGTTCAAGACCAACCTGGGCAACATGAGGAAACCATGTCTCTACAAAAAAATGTAAAAAAATTAGCCAGGCCTGGTGCCACAGGCCTGTACTCCCAGCTACTTAGGAGGCTGAGGTGGGAGGATCACTTGAGCCTGGGAGGTTGAGGCTGCAGTGAACTGTGATCATACCACTGCATTCCAGCCTAGGTGACGGAGCAAGACTCTGTCTCAAAAAAAAAGTTTTTTAAAAAGAGACAGGGTCTTGCTATGTTGCTCAGGCTGGTCTCGAACTCCTGGCTTCAAGTAATCCTCCTGCCTTCCGAGTAGCCGGGATTACAGGCATGAGCCACTGTGCCCAGCCCCTTTATCCATCTTTCGGAGTCCCATTTTGACCCTGTTCTCTGATATGGGGACCTGAGGTATACATGTGAACATGACATATGGAGAGGTATTATAGTCTTGGTGTTTTATTTTTTCTTCTTTTACTCAAATGAGGCATCTGGAGAAGAGGGGAAGGGAGGGGCTAGATCCTGCGGCCAGAGAAAAGAGAGATTCCCCAGCTCCCAGCCGCTGTGTGCAGGCCCAGGAAGTGGATAGGCTCACACCACAGCCTGTGGGTTTGTGGGGCCTGCAGAGAGAAGAGCCAGAGGAGATGACGTCAGTCAGTCTCAAAAGAAGTGAAATTTACCAGCTTTCCAGCTGCCTATTGGTCAGGTTTGAGGTACCAGAGTGAGCCCCAGCGGGATATGGGGGTTGTACAATGCCCAGAATAAGGAGATTATAGCCTGTGGGAGGCAGGGGTTGGATGGTTTTTGGGGAGGGAGTCATAAGTAAGACTGGTGAGGAAACTTTTCCTTTCCTTGAGAGGTCAAGTTCTGGGAAAGAGCTACAGACCAGGAACCCACCTGTCTTGGCAAAGCTGATGATTTCACATTCCTGTTCCCTGTTGTCCTCCGGAAGTGCCCCCTGTGGGAGCCCGTGGAGGCGCTGCAGTGCGGTCCTCAGAGCAGCTCTGGACACAGGATGGTTCAGTGTTGGGCGCTGGCGGAGGTGCAGCTTGTCCAAGATGCTTCTCTTAGCCAGGTCAAGAAGCAGCTCCCGCTGGCTCTCCAGGTCCAAGGTGGGCCCCCCACATGCTGGACACTGGCCGCCAGCTCTGGGAGTGGCCGCTGCGGTTGGAGCCAGGAGGAGAAAGGCCAGGAGCAATGAGGAGGTCATTGCTGGGGGAGGCCCTTCTTGAGGAACACAGACCCAGGGCTCAGGGTCTCAAGAGCTGTGGTCTCAACTCTGTCCTGGCTGCCAGGAGTCCTGGAAGAAGTGTATGTCCAGCTGGCATGGCTCCTTGTTGCAGGGGATAGAGCAGCTGCCAAACATCTGACTTGAAAATGAAGCCAGTTACAGGTAGAACTTGGCAGAATCTGCCAATGCATAGTTAGTGAAAGTACAGAGTGGGGGATGTGAGGAGAGGTTGGTTTGTTTAGGGTAAGACGTGTCCCTGGGCCAATGTTGGGAGAGAGTTGTTATCCATGTGAGGTGCCAGGTCTGGGGACAAAGGTGAGAGAGTAAATTCCTCCTCAGATCACTACCCTTGCTGGGAATCCTGGGGGCGGGGGAAAGGGACAGATTACAGGTTTTAGGAAAGAATGTTAAAGGGAGACTCTCAAACAAGAAGGAGTAATTGGTAGGGCACTTTAGCTCACTGTCATGCATGAACAATTGAGAGTTGCATTATTTTTTGCCTGGCATTTCTCAAAGCCCATCCCTATCCCTCCATCCTCCCTCCCTGGGGTTCTCAATCCAGTCTTATTTGTTAGCCCTGGTTGAGTTTTGCTCAAGAGGTCTCAAAACCATGAAATCTGAAGGTTAAGGGAAGGGAGGCACAGTGTCCTAGGCATGTTTTCAATGTCCTCAGAGGGAACTCTTAATGTGGGGAAAGGGCTTGAGATTTAGATGTGCTCACCCTTTGGGTTTTTTTTTCTGTCTAAGAAAATAAGTTTTGAGATTTATTTATTTATTGATTGAGATGGAGTCTCACTCTGTCACCCAGGCTGAAGTACAGTGGCACAATCTCGGCTCACTGCAACCTCTGACTCCCAGGTTCAAACAGTTCTCCTGCCTCAGCCTCCTGAGTAGCTGGGATTACAGGTGTGTGCCAACATGCCCGGCTAAGTTTTGTATTTTTAGTAGAGATGGGCTTCACCATGTTGGTCAGGCTGGCCTCGAACTCCTGACCTTGTGATCTGCCCACTTCAGCCTCCCAAAGTGTTGGGATTACACCTGGACTCCAACCTGTTTCTAATAGTGTGGTGGTGAGGAGGAGATTCTGAAGAGAAACTGCTTTGGTTCAAAATCAGGGACTTTAGTTTAACTATTGTGCCTCAGGTTTCCTCATCTATAAAACAGGTATAATAATAGTACATATTGTAATGAGGATTTGATAGTAACAATAAACGTAGAGTGCTACACATTCTATATTATACTTACATACGCATAATACAAATGTTAGCTATTGCTTCCCTCCTGGTTACCACTGCCTGGTCTGGAACTCCTGAGCTCAAGCCATCCACCTGCTTTAGCCTCCCAAAGTGCTAGGCGTGAGCCACTGCGCCTGGCCAAGACAGAAGGTTTAAATCATAGTGAAAAGCGGCAGGTTAGATTAATTCAGTTCAGTTTTTAGTTGTATTTTTCTTCCCGTGTTGCTGTTCTTCAGAGGGTTGAGAGAATTTTGGGGCAGGAGGCAGTGATGACCAGGAGAGAGGGCTGGGCATGGTGGCTCACACCTGTAATCCCAGCACTTTGGGAGGCCAAGGCGGGTGGATCACCTGAGGCCAGGAGTTTGAGACCAGCCTTACCAACATGGCGAAACCCCATCTCTACTAAAAATACAAAAATTAGCTGGGCATGGTGGTGCATGCCTGTAGTCCTAGCTAATCCTGAGGCTGAGAGTCGCTTGAACCTGGGAGGCGGAGGTTGCAGTGAGCCGAGATCGCACCACTGCACTCTAGCCTGGGTGACAGAGCAAGACCCCTTCTCAAAAACAACAACAAAACAACAACAACAACAAAAACCCAACAACAACCCAGAACTTGCTCATCCTTGAAGGAAAAATGAACTTCATGCGTCTATGACTTTGCTGGAATCTCCATTCTTTACCTCGCTAGTGAACGATTTATATTCTCAAGAATAGCTGGAATTTCATCTGTAGTTTCTCTGTAACTTATTCAGTCTCTTTTACCTCTAAGAATGAGTTGCTGCTCCTTGTGTTTCCATAACAAATTGAAACCTTTCTATTCTTGCATTTAAACTGTACTATAATTAGATTTTTTTTGCCTACCGCAGTTCCTGTCACAAGGTAAATATTTAATGGTTGAATTCTACAAAAGTAAGACTATATTGCTTCTTTGAGGGAGTTTGGTCAGTAAATCATCCACACACACATAATCAATAACTAAATTGATTCTGCCTAGAACGGACAGAAGAGGGGAGGTTGGAAATTTAAGATGATTTTTGAGAACTGTATCTTAGAGAGGGACTGATGGTAAGAATGTAATCTTAACAGAACAGACTGAGTTCCTCCTAGGTCAGTTTTTTTCATCTGTAAAATGGACATTTACCTGTCGAACCATCGTTATCCATGTGTACAACAAATACTGAGTATACGTTCTTTTGGTACGGGGGTAGCTGTCCTAAGAGAAAGGCTGTTTTGAAAGTGCTCTGTAAATTGAAATTCCTTTAGAATGATCACTATTAGTATTCTATTGAAATCCAGGGTATTCTATCTGACAGACTTGACGAGTTTCAGGAGGACTAAGGCTCCCAGTGGCTACGGATTCCTGGCCTGACACAGGTAATGCGGAGGGAGGAGAGGGCGAGCAAGCGAGTGCGAGTGCGCGCGCGTATGCAAGAATGCTTGCGGCAGGCGGTGGGCCCGGCACCGCTGCTGAGGCGCACGCAGGAAGCCAGGAAGCGGGGACCGGCGGAACGCAGGACGCGGTGACGACAACGCCGGACGTAGTGACGTAGAGCGCAGGCCGCAGCAGGGGGCGGACTCTGGGCTTTTCTTCCCCTTCTGATTTTCCCCTCCCCCCTTTTCTCCCTTTCCGGGTTTGGTTCCCCCCTTTTCTTTCCCTCTCCCCCCTCCTTCCCAAGTCCCTTTCCCCTCCCCCGCCCCGGTCCCCTCTGCTTCCCAGCCCTAGAGCCCGGGGAAGCCCCTGCCCGAGAAGAGCCCGCCCCCAGCAGCGCGCCGCCGCCGGCCGTCGGGGCCGAGCGGCAGCCGAGCGGCCGTGGGCCCGGGCTGCAGGCGGAGACGCGGGCGCCCTCCCCGCTACGGCCCGTGCGAGGTGAGGCCACCTCCCGGCCGAGGGGGCGGGCGGCCCTGGCGGACTGTGGGGAGGGGGCGTGGCGGCAGCGCGGGCCGGCGCGAGGAGGCCCGGCAGCCTGGGTTCCCCGCGCCGGGGCAGCCGGGGCACGGGGGCGATGGGTCTGCGTCGGAGGGACCTGGGAAGGACTGTTCCAAGTGTACGCAGCTGGAGAGAAGCCGGGGGCGCGGGGCAGCGGGCGGCGGTGCGGGGGGCAGGGGGGTGGCGCCACCTGTGGCCTGTGCGGGGTTGGGGGGGACTTAAAAAGTGTTGCGCCCTTGCTGTGCTTAGAGGTGGCTAGCTCCGTGAGTTTCTTGGGTGGCCGTTTTCCTTCGAACATAGAACATGGAAAAATAGGACGGAGAGGTGTAGAAGTGTTTAAAATCATGCCGGTCTCCAGGTTTATTACGGGGACAGGGATTTAAGTTGGCACATACAGGGAGATGTTTCTTTAGCTTAAAACTTGGGCCTACGCTAAGCTCATAACTTGTTCGAGCCCCCTCGAAAACGCTTCAATTTGTTTTCCCTTAGAGCCAACATTTTCAACCTTTGTGGCCATTAGCCTAGAAGCTACCGAATGCTTACTTTCTCAGAGTGAATTGTTCTTAGATAATTATGAGAAATGACCGAATAACAATCCCAGAACTATGTTAAAACCAAAGAAAGAAAAGTGGAAAAGTTTAATTCAGACCCCAGTTGGATGCATGCCCTTGTGCATATGTTGTTCAAATAGATAACTAAGATTGAGAAGCCCGAGTCCTGTCTGATTTTCGTAAGCAACGTGGAGATTCAAGGAAGGAGGAAAGTGACAGGTTTCACTTCAGGAATATCACCAATTCCTAGTATTTTATTGTATTTTTAGATAGATTTGCAGTTGAATAAGTTGTGGGTCTTCTTCCTAATGCTTTTTTTTCGTTTTCTTCCTCCAATAGTCTCCCTCCCCACCCCCCAACCCCTTTTTGATGCTGGGGTATCAAGACAAAAAGTTTTTTTTTTTAAGACAGCGTCTCACCCAGGATGGAGTGCAGTGGCGCCATCTCAGCTCACTGCAACCTCTGCCTCCTGGGCTCCAGCGTTCCTCCTACCTCAGCCCCACAAGTAGCTGGGAGTACAGGGGTGAGCCATCGTCCCCAGCTAATTTTTGTAGAGACTGGGTCTCACTTCGCTGCCCAGGCTGGTCTGGAACTCCTGAGCTCAAGCGATTCACCCGCCTTGGCCTCCCAAAGTGCTAGGCGTGAGCCACCGCGCCTGGAAAGACAAAAAGTTTAAATAGTGGTGAAAAGTGGCAGGTTAGATTAATTCGGTTCAGGTTTTAGTTGTATTTTTCTTCCCCTGTTGCCGTTCTCCAGAGGGTTGAGAGAACAGAAAACTTTTCTTGAAGGCCTGATGAACTCTTAACAAAAGTTAAATTTCAGAGTTGCAGTTCCAGTTGTCGTTGTGTCCGTTATATGATCAGTAGAGCTTCACAATTTTTTCTTCGTAGAGATGGGATCTTGCTATGTTGTCCAGCCTGGTCTTGAACTCTTGGCCTCAAGTGATCTTCTGGCCTCAGCCTCCCAAAAGCACTGGGATTACAGGTGCGAGCCATTACGCTTGGCAGAGTTTCACAATGTAAAGTTTTTAAAAATTTTACAAATAAAAATAGCATGCCTGACTGGCCAGGTGCGGTGGCTCATGCCTGTAATCCCACACTTTGGGAGGGCAAGGCAGGTGGATAACCTGAGGTCAGGAGTTCGAGTCTAGCTTGGCCAACATGGTGAAACGCTGTCTCTACTAAAAACACAAAAAGAGCCAGGCATGGTGGCAGGGACCTGTAAGTCCAGCTTCTTGGGAGGCTGAGGCAGGAGTAAAACTTGAGCCCAGGAGGTGGAGGTGAGGTTGCAGTGAGCTGAGTTCGTGCCACTGCACTCCGGCCTGAGTGACAGAGTGAGACTCTGTCTCAAAAAAAAAAAAAAAAAGCATGCCTGGTATTATTTAACGGAAAATTAAGAGATAGCTTTGTTTTTCAAAATAAAAACCAGTTTTGCCTGTCAGGCTCTAGATCTGTGGCACCCTTTTTCCCCAGCATGCACACTGGCCTCTGGGTGTTCCTTGAGCACACTAGGCACACTTCTACCTCAGAGTCTATGCTCTTGTTCCCTCTTCCTGGATTACTT